TGACACATAACTGCATGCGCGGGTGAAAACACAGGGTGTGAGTCCTTAAATATATATATATATATCAGATATATAATTAATGACAGTTATGTTAAGACATATTATATCATCGTTGACCCGTTTTCAACTACCCCGACCCCAACACATGGATTTTGTTTGATGTAGTTGTTGCATGCCTTTTTGCTTGGTGGTTTCTTTAGATGTTTGCACCTCTGCTGGATCCCAAAACATGTCTCTGTTTGTTTGAGCTTCTCGTTGCGGACACTCTCCCAGTCATTGGCATTCCACAAATCACTTGTTGACATGGCGTGGCGAGGCTGCCATCGATGCGGACGACGTGCGGAACGCAACGTGAGGGTGTTCTGCTCCAGACATTGCACAGCGATGTCACGTCTCCCAGCATGACACAGGAAAATGACATGTCCATAAATTGTCCTAAGATGTGGTGGAAAAGAAACACTAAATCTCCTCAGTCTAAGTGAATGCTTTCCTTGGAGTCTGTTTTTGTTGCTTCCATCAAAGGTCGAGAAGTTTGTTTTGTTTCAGTCCTTTTTGTTGGAAGATGCTTTCTCTTTTCTTAAAAGCAACAGGCGTTGCATTGAAACATCTAAAAACCATGCTACCAGGCAGGCTCATTTCCAGGTGTTCAAACCCAAAAAAGCCGGCGGTTCCTCGCCCGTTTCACCCGTTCGCTGCATTTCGCCGTGGCGTTTTCAAAAGGCGTCGCTGGGGTCGACGAGGGACGGGTGTCCGACCCGCAGTTGCAACGCCCTTCGATTCGCAACGCCTTTTTGGTGGGGGGACACCCCACTAAAAGCATTCCAAACAATTCAAACAAAACGGTGGTGCAAAAAAGGGCAGTTGACCCGTTGAATTGCATGTTGCAGGGAAACTGAGGGAGTCAGAGGCTTTTGGGCTCTCGCACCTCAAGCGTTGTGAAGATGATTGCCAAAGAATCCATGGCATATCATGGCATGCCGGCTTGGGTTCTACAGATGTTCAGACACGGGCGCAGGTGAACTCTACCTGGCACTTCAGTAGTGTTTAGAACGTGTTCCGAGTTGACATCTCATCTCTAATAGGTGATGGATCAAAATGGTTACTGGATATAGGAAGATCCAAACAATTCCGAATATATCCAAATAATAATTAAGGAAAAGGCATGCGATTTGCTCCTCCCCGTTTTTTGAGAAACAGAGGACAAGGGAAGGTTCTTCTATCATCTCTCTCAATTGCAAGGATTATTTTTGCCAGGGGTGGCAATAATTCAATAGGTTGAAGGTAGATGATCAACACCTGCCATGGTATATTGAATGTGTTATATATATATATATCCCAGACGCTCCATGTATTATGCCATATATATATATGCCTACATTGACCCCTCAAACCACCCCAATGTAGGCATCATTTGTGGCATACATGGAGTGTTTGGGTATATATGTAGCTTAATATATCTTATCTTAATATACAATATGCATAATATTGCATAATATATTCAACATATACACATGTAATTATATGTTTTATGGTCCATGGGGTTGGATCACCTTGCTCTCGGGGCTTTGATGGCCTGACACTCTCTGGAGCCGTGCTCGAGCTGCTCAGAGCGCCCGGGCGAGTTCCTCCCGCGGCTTCGATCGCCGTGTCTCTTCCCCCGCGGAGCTGAGGCGAACGCGTCCCGCGGCTCAGCGTGAGCTGTGAAGGTTGGAGCTCAACCAGATCCCAAGAAGCATTTTGATCCACCTATGTGAAGCATCCAAGACCCTTCTTTCTTGTTTGGAAAGATCCCAAGAAGGGTGGAACCATGACCTTGAGGTGGGGAGTGAGAAATCCACCGTCCACATGGTGAAGCATCAACGGAGCGTGCCAGGGATGCCGGAAGCGTGGGTATAGTCAATGTGCAGCTGGGTGCCAGTGAATTGGTTCTGACCTATCCTGGCATGGGCAGTTTGACATGTCTTTATTGGACTGGAAGAGGCCTTCAAAATTAAAGAAGGTGTGATGGAGGAAGGCAGCGTGGGGGGTCATTGGGCGTGTGGGATGTAGATTTGCTTGATTGAGAGGGTGGGGTTGGCGGACAGGGACGGATAGTTACATAAATTGAGGAAAAATTGAGTGCAGGTTGGCCAGGTATCACTAGACTGCCAGTTCACGATGTGCCTTTCGGCTCAGGTGGGTCAAAGTCCATGCCATGTGCATCAAGTCTTTACCTTCTGAAACCCATGCCATCAGCGTTTGCAGGAGCTCACCCAAGCAAGGCAGGGCGGTATTTAGTGGATTTCAATATTTATCTCCGGATCAGCTCAACATAACTCACCTGCTGTTCTGCTGCTGAGAAGACCTCAGCGGCAATGATGCGCCCCATGGTGGAACGGAGGGTCAAGAGGAGCCCATTGGGGAAAGCAGAGATTGGTGGAAGAGTGTTCTTTGGAGGGCGGTTGGGCAACCGTTGCATGTTTGGGCACATCCAAGAGATTGACCCTGAAGGAATAGTACTTATATGGGTGTGTACTGGAATGACTTCGGGGGCCTTCTTGCCACACACACTCATGTACAGCGGTATGTGTACCAGGAAATTCTAGCTGGCCTCATGACGTCGCCTTCAAAAGACCTGCCCGGTGTCACTTGAACGTGGAGTGGCTAGGTGCCTTCCCTGGTGTCCTGCCAAGAGTCCCTGGTCTCCCTGGTGGGGATGCAAGACTCAAATCGAAAGGCCCTGCAAGACTTGGCCATGCTTAGCTTGGCATAAAATTCATAAATGCATTGGCGGGAAAAATGGTCTTGAAGGGTGTTGGGTGTTGACTTGCATGTCAACAACTTGGTAGTCGATTGACATTCTGCTAACATGGTCATTGAGCATGTTGCTCACCGCAGCTCCTGAGCTTGTTGGTCTTTGGATCTGACTACGACTGGTGGGAGTCCGCTGGCCACTCAAGAGCAAACTGAGTATTTCCCCAAACAGAGTATGCCTAGTGGGCCCCAGAGCTCGAACATAGGGCCTCCCAGCTCGAACACACAGAGCACCTGCAACCCCTCGTGCCGCAAGCAGACCCGACCCTGCGAAGAAACAGGCCGAAGACGAGGAAGACCGGACTGATCATTGTGCTTTCCGATTGGACGATCATTGGGATGTGTGTTTTTGTTTGCTCCATGGCCCATGAGAGAGACCCGGCCCAAGGTTCTGGTTCGGATGGGGTCATAGTATTGTCATATATTTGGTGAAGGATACATCAAGCGTACTGGTGGGTTGCTCCAGATAACTGCTCATCACCGCTCCCGCTTTCTCCTGCTCACGACCACGCCTGAGTGAACCGAGCGACGAGGATCCATCACCGCAAGAGCTGTCCAGCCAGTCAGGAGACGTTACCACTCAAGGCGAGGGCCAATGAAACCTGAGAATTCCATCAACCATCATCAACCTGAGCATCCAGAAACATCTAGAAGCTCTCAGACCATCCTCCGAGATTTTGAACTGCTTGACCCATGCCTGACCCATCCTTTAACCACGAGAGAAACCAGCACACAAGTGGCCACCGAGAGAAGTGCGCGAGACTGTCCAGGCGCTGCCGGCGAATGTGATCTCCATGCCGGAGACCGGGGGGGCGGAGTGCGGGCAATGCAGAGACATGGATGAATAAAGAATAGTAATAGAACCCTCTGGACATGGATTGTAAAACCTCTACAGCAGCTGGGATGCGGAGGGACGCGAAGGACGCCTCTGGGCGGGGTCTGACACCTGCAATGGGGTCTGACAAGGGTGACAGTTCAAGGTGAGACGTGATTCATCGATATTCATCGTGACTTAGATGAGTTCCAAGTTGGGTGGTAGACAAATGGGTTCCAAAGATCCATCCTAATGTAAACTCTTGATGAATGAACATATGTAGAGGATTTCCAATTCAAATGGGGGAGGGTTTACCAATCAAGAGTCAACAGGCTTTACCATGCGGTGCACCATTTCTTGGTTTCTCAGGATGCCAACCTCAGGCCTCCATCTCGACAGAGCGAAAAACCGCTGCAGACGCAGCCGATAGGTACAGATCTCCGAAACATTGGCCGCTCTGCTTTCAATAGGCATGAGGATATCTGTGCCATTCTGTGCCTATTGAAAGCAGCGTGGCAGGAGTCCACCAAAACCACTTAGCAGTCGGGTCCCTTTCACTTTGAGCTCATTCGGCAACCTTTTGGACCCTGAGTTGCTCCTCTTACAGGGCTGCCGTCGACATGTGTACCTTTCATGCCAGCACCGCAGCACCTCGCTGCACAGAGAGATGGTTCATCATCCATGGTCCAGCACCTCATCATGGCCCATGCACTGATTACAAGAAATTGATACAAATTGGGTAAACGGCGGGGGTTAACCCGAAAAGCAACGTGCACAGGGCTAGAAAAGCGCAACGCGAGTGTCGAGTCACGCGAGTAGAAACTTGAATGAAACTTTGCTTGAAGCTTCACCATCAAAACAAAAACAACTACAACAAAGCATGTTTTTACTTTGTTTTTTCAACTTCAAACAAAACACTTCTGAAACATGTATTTAAAAAACAGAAAGGAGCGCTCTGAGCGGCGCGTTTTTGCATTGTTTCATTTTGTTTGTATTTTGTTTCTATATTTGTATTGCGTTTCTATTGATTTTTGTGCCACTGAAAGAATACTATTCTGCCTCAACCCCCCCCTCCCCCAAAGGCAATTTCCAAAATTCCAATTTTCCAAAATTCCAATTTTCCAAAATTCCAATTTTCCAAAAAAAACAAAGAAACCAAAAAAAACAAAAAAAACAATTGTGCCAGGACTTTGCCTCACCCCCTCTTCCCCCCATGGTCTGTGCAGAATTGTTTTTTTTGTTTTTTTTGGTTTCTTTGTTTTTTTTGGAAAATTGGAATTTTGGAAAATTGGAATTTTGGATTTTTTGATTTCCTGGGATGTTTTAAATTTTCAATTTCCTTGGAAGTAGACAATACTACCACTTTCTCTCAATTCCAGAACAGTCTCTGAAACCCTCAGTGATTTGTTCATTAGGGTCTAATAATGCTCCTTCTGCTCCTTTAACTCGAAAATTGGTAATACCTGACATTTTAGAATTATAACCAGTAAAATTGACATCTGCAATTTTTTCAAATGACATACCAATAATGAATTTGTTCTTTCTGTATTGACGATACGAAAAACTTAAACTGTCATGTACTGTATAGCTCTTCTTAAATAGTAACAGATTTATGATAATGATTGCGCTTCAAATTCTGTGTATTTCTGGGAATTGCTTAATTGAATTTGCCAACTTAAACTACGGGTGGCATCTTGAAAACCTTTGTACCTTGTAAGTCATTTGTATCAGCATTACCAGTATCATTAATTCTTCCATAGATCATAGGATTAATTCCATCTCTTATATACATAATTGTCAGGTAAGTATCGGTTCAGTTCTTCACCACTCCTTGGAGTTCTAAATAAGGTAATGAATGCTCCAGTCAGTTTAGAAGATGATTTTACAATATTCATATTAATTTCACCACCACCAGCATTGAATGTTTGGGTGATTGTGTGATAACAATTTGTAATGTTTCTTATCTTTGCCATTCCGCCCCCTTCTATGTCCTGCCATTCTAACACTCAATGGCTGACAAGTAGCACCAATATAGACATCGTCATTTTGTCATTTAGTATTCTGTAAAATTTTGCCTTGGAGTAATCCACCATAACATTACATAGTTTAACTAAGTTTAAATGTTGTTTTTTAAATGAGTGATTGGGGTTAAATCCATTGCTTATATTGGTGCCGGGATTGATGTTCCAAAGGCCGTTCCCTTCAAAATTGATATAGCTGTGGCTCATTAAAGGGTTAGGTTCTTTCAAATCAGAAGTTACAGCGTAACCATCCAACATTGAAACAATATCGGATGGATTGAGGTAGTCAAGTCTTTTGGGACTTTTGTTCCTTTCCTTTTTGTTTTTATTGTAGGGGTAGCATAGGTTGTTGTAGCAAATGTATTAGGTTGTTCTTGATTGATCTTATTGCAGCACTTGCAAGGTTATGCCCAACCAAACGGGTTATTTCTGGTGACTTTTCCAATTCTTCTATAACATGTTTGTATTTCTCACTGTGATGAACATTTCTAGTAGGTACTAATAACAGATCATCCATAATATCCCTTGTTAAAGATCCATCACAACCACCTGTGCCACTTATGTATAAAGTCTTACTTGTTTTGTAAAAAGCACTTGGTGATGAATAGGCATTCCATAAGCCCCTGCAGTCTTCTATCTTCTCCTTGTTTGCTATATTTTTCTCTTCAGCATATAGTGTTCTATGTTGTTTAAAGTGATCATTTAAGTTTCTTGTAAAGTCATTCATTCTATCATTCCAATTTTGGTTCTTTTTTTTCATAATCACTGTAGGTTTCTTGACCGATCTTACTGAATAACATCTGGGCGCTTCCAGGCAGATCCTTCCAGGCAATGTCAGACACATCAATCATTCTCAAGAAAACGCATGAAAAAGGTTGAAACATGCTCATTTTCATCGAAAAACGCGCCGCTCACAGCGCTCCCCTCTCCAGAAAAAAAAGACTACAACATTGTAAAACCCAAAGATCACTAAAAAACACCGCCGCATCGAGACGCATCGTTTCTGCATCCAAAGGACCAGGGCACTGTCTACAAGAACTGCATCCACGTCACCGAGGAGGACCTCAAACGCGCGGTGCCACAGTGAAGGGAGACGTGGCACCGCGGAAGCCGGTTGGCGTGGCAAACCTGGAGACCGGTTAGTCGCGTTCTCGCGTTCTTGCGACGGTCCCTATGGTTCAATCCCCAAACCTAATATGTCATGAAACGTATGTGTTTTCTTCGATTCATTCGAGATGCCTGGGCGGGTGAATTTGGAAGTTTTGGACACGTGATGCCAATGAATCATAAGGTAGATCTGACAGTTACAAAATGATGTGACACTTTTTATGTTTTACAACGTACAATCACGCAAACATGCACTTTAACATTTACATAAGTTGGCACTTTGAAGATGACCAGGTCGATTTAAACTGCCTGGTCAGCTGGTGACGTAGGGTTTTGCTACGATGACCAGGGAGGTCAATGATTGATGACCGGGACTGCATGAACAAAAGCCTCGCCCAGTCGGGCTGCATTCTCTCCATGAGCAAATCGGGCCTGCGGTGCCAAGAAACATCAGAAATATACAGCACATACACATATATATATAATATTTATATATACACGCAAAATTGTAGAATAGTTTAGAATATATGAACAATTAACATATAATAACAATGTAATATAATAGAATCATAAGAAACATATAATATATGATACTTTTTTGTAATGTCATTGGCTCAGCCGCCCCGCAAGTTGGGGGGCACTTTCAGGTCAAGACCACCCTGAAGGATGAAAGGCTTGGCTTGGACCTGAAAGATCCAAGCCTTGCTCGAAGACTCCAAGCTGCCATCCACCCAGATGAGTTTGGAGCCTTTGAAGAGCCCGAACCTGCGTGCAGGGCCTCTCAAGATTTGACACCTCAGACCTATAGTGCACTAAAAGCTTTGATTCCAGGGAAGGTCTCCCTCATTCTGCATGTGCCCAAAACATGTCTTGCACGATCTTGCACTCGAAGTCTTCATACCGTCAGAGCTCCCCCCATCGTGCCCCAGAGTCCACCCTGGACACGCAGCGCGGTTCCGCCTGCAGGGTATGGCCATGATTTGACAAAGCTCCGCGAGCATCAGGTGCGGGAGGTTCTGCGGTGGGCTTAGCCCACAGGGAGGGTCAGCCGGCGGGGTGGCCGCAATGCGGTCGGTCCGGCGGGTGTGCCAGGCGGGGCAGAAGACAGTAAGGGCCACCAAAGTTCTCCTGAAGACAAGAGGAAGACTGCACAGACAGGATACCAAAACTCATCAAAAACTATCTAATGTGTTGGTCCAGTGACCTAATTAGAGAGCTTTGCTACGACCCGGGTCACCCTGTTTGGTGTTTCGCAACGTCGCGCCCGGAGTCGGGCTCAGTCGTGTCAATGCGACTTCCACCGGTGCGGCGGTGGGGGGGACGGCGTGGGACTGGGTCCGGAGCCACGTCGTCACGGCTTTGTTGGAGACAGGAAACGAAGTGAGCTGTCAGACGGGAAACTCCAGTGGAACAAGTGTTGGTTTGTGTGTGACAGCGTGAAACAAATCAGCATTCTTCATCACTTCGTGCTGGAGAAGGCCTTTGGATAAGGCCTCTAATAAGCGGTTTGCCACTCCAAGAGTTCACAGGTATACCTCCTTGTGGCGGCTGGATGTCCTTGTGACAGAAGTGGTCAGACTATGCATGGTCGAGGTATTGGGTGTGTGGCATTTCCCTCCAAACACATCACATAGAAGTGGATGGCACCACATGTTTGGAGAGGAAATTCATTGTCTTGCCAGAGTCAATGTCCCACTTCCAGTAAGTTAGGATCCTCGGTGTTGCTGATGTACAATCAATCAAGTTGGCCTGCAAGTCCTATTTTTCTGCATGCTGTGACTGTGAGCCTCCCCCAAAAATGTACAAACATTCTCAACAAACATCCTGTCTCTTTGTCGAACACAAGGGAAGTGGATGGACATTGATTCTCCATTGGAGGGTTCGGGTCATTGAAAGCTGTGTTGAATCCTTTGTACCCTATCTAAGAAATTTGTGCCCTCAATTGAAAAAGGTTTTTGTTTCAGGTCCGGACCCTTTTGGAAAAAGGTGTCGGGTCACCTGCCCGTTTGTGTCAATTCCGAGGTGTTTGGCCGATGTCCGTGTGTCCTGTGGAAACGATCTTGCACCGAAGACCACAATGAACAGACATGCAAACACCTGAATCAGAGGAACCAGGAGATTTCGAATTATGTCTTTTTGTTAAGGATGTTAAGGTTCTGAAGTTGGCGACGTTCCCCAACTTGCCCAGACAGCTTCCGGTGGTAACTTGGTTTTGAGAGGTGTCTCGCGTTTCTGGTGGCTAGAATCTGAGGTATATTAAGCCTATGACAAGTGATAAGTCCTGCCCACCATGCTTGGGTCGGGTTTTGGTCGCCGTCTGGCAGGTCCAACCGTGGGAACGCCGTCACCGAGAGAGGCCGGCTCCGAACTACGCTCCAAGAGGGGGAACTTCTCCTGGAAGATCAGTTGAGGTGATGCATGACCCCTCCCTGCACTACCCACACTCCCGGCCCCACGTGCCAAGCATGGCCTCGACAGGACCCATGGATCCATGGCATGGACCCATGGATGCAACTCATGCGAGAAAGCGGGGTTGATCCTCTTCCACGTTCTTGCAGAAAGGGTCTTAAGTGCATTCAGCTATTCAGACGCGGAGACCAAGCGTGTCCGGATGAAAGCGGGTGCAAGCTTTGAACAGATAAAAATAGCCCATCAATCCTCGAGCCAAGAGGGTGCTCTAGCTGTCCACCATCACCCAATCACCCTCCAGAACCCTCTCCAATCTGGAGGACCCTGAGCTTTGGCGAGAGCTTTGAGGAGACCTGTCGAAAGCCAGCAGAGGCAAGCTGCAGTCGCAAGGACAAGACTTGCGGAACTGGAGTGTTTGTTCTTCTTTCAGGACGACTCCGGTCCGATGTTCGACGTGAATGGTGTTTCTCCAAATCGTGTTGAGGGACTTTGGTTGTTCCATGTTGGATTGGACCTTGAGAAACACATCGGAAACACCTCGAGGGTCCGGTCCGGTCCGCTTCCACCGTGAATGGGCAGGTCTTGGATCCCTGGCGGAACCTGCCGGAGCCCGAGCGCCTCCGGCCACCCAACGAAGGTGCCACCTGTTCGGGCGGAGCGGTGGAGCCACGGATGTAAGCAGGTGGAATGGAAGGTGCTGAATGGATTTGGAGGTTGAGCCACAGGTCATGTATAGTATATAATGATGTGTTGGCTGTTGGAAAGCATACATCCAGCATCCAGAGAAGACTTCTTGGTCAGCCTATGGGCGGCTGCAGAACCAGGCCATTTGAATCCATTTGGCTTGACTCAAGCGCACTGCGGCGAGGTGACCTTTTCCTCAACCAAGTGGTGCCCAAGTCGCCAAATCGAGTGGCAGAGGAGGACGATGCCGAAGCTGAGGAGCGACGCCTTAGCAAGGCGAAGAGGGAGGAGGAGGGGTGGGTCGATCAGGATCCTGACCAAGGGTCCATCCCACCTGAAAGAACAAACATGACCACAAGCTGTGGGCCCTCCTCCCAAAAGCGGGGCCCTCCTCAGTGGGATTCCTTCAGCCAGTTTTCCAGATCGGTTGAAAAAGACATCCTGGTCCTGGTCCTAACCTCCCAAGCTGGGATTTGGCAAACCTCAAAAGTTGGGATTCGATAGGACTTTGAGTTAGGCCAGTTACTTCACCCACGTTTCTACAAGGAGGGCAGGCTAAGGGCAGGCCTAGCAGCCCTAGCAGTGCAGGTGTATTCGATTTGTTTCAGTTAGCATCATTTGTATCGCCAATAATAGGTCGAACCACTGCGGTGTTTACCTTCAGTTCTTTTATTTCTACTTGCAAGTGTAGTGTCAAAGGTTGGATGTGATCACTCTTCAGCAAATATGGAACAACATGGAAAAGCAATAAACCAAATTGGTCGGGATTCAAAAGCGGCCCCTCCACACACAATGAAACAAGCACACGTAGTGCAATAAAGGAACAGATTGGAACAATGTGAGAAAAAACCTGAACAACTTCAAGAAAAAGTATATGTACAGTAAACAAGTGAACAAACAAAACAAACACATCCAAAACATGTCCTCTCTCTCTCTCTCTTGTATATATATATATATACATAGAAACATTTACAAACTCTTGTGGGGGCCCTGCTGCCAGCCCAAGGCCTCTGAGGATTAGTTGGTTTGTTTTTTTTAATGGTTTCATGAGTTTTCATGTGTCCACTGGACGGTGACAGATATTGTTTTGCTTATATAAGAACGGACAATCGCTTAGGGCCAACAAAACAATCCAACACGCTGAAGACGCACTCAGAACGGCGTCAGAATATCAATAAGTTGTTTGTTTTTAGTGCTGCCTTTTAGAACATTCCAGAACCCACACTTATACAATTAGAACATGGTAAGGAAAAACATCGGAAATCTAGCAGAACTCTTTCCAAAACTGGTGGGAAATGCACTTCAACCATATGACCACCGTTGTTGATTGGTTCCTCACCGATCGTTCCGAGCGATCGGTGTGTTCGACATATTTCCGCTAGTTATCCCCCTTCCCCTGTCAAGCTATATGTTGTCTAACTAACTCATGAGACTTTATATAGTTTTTACCCTTCAGTGTTTCTTCAGGTCTTGACCTCTTCGTCTTCACATCCTGAAATCCTTTGTTTTGCTCACAAGCTGATCCGGCTGATCCTAATCCCAAGGGGCTATTCTCTTGGTCAAGCCGACTTTTATATCTTTTAATATTGCTGGCACATGCTGGCACTGTTTGTTTTAGCCTAGGGACTGAAAACCGGACCCACTTTTCTGACATTTTTGGACTCCACGGCGCTTGGTCATGTCATCGCATGGTGTTGGGGGGGTGGGGGGGTGGGGTGAGGGTCAAATTCCCCGCAGTGGAGCGTGTAATACATAGTATCCGTGGATTCAACTCACAGTCCAACGAGCGAGTGAGCGAAGGCGATCGAGCGGCTGTTTTCACACGCACATACCTTGAGCCAAATGTTATGGCATGTCAATGCATTGCGTAAGAGCATATCGCAAGATACTGTAACCAAGGGCATGAAGCAATAGCGTAAACGGGAGCCCAAAAACAGAAAACATGCGGGGGGTGCTGTAATTTCGTTCTTGTTTTCACATACGTCTCATGAGCATGAAGGCTCAAGACGTAGCCACGGTGTGTGCTTTAGTTTTGTTGCTTCGGTTGTCGGGTGTTCCTTGTCGTCTTGGTTTTTTGTTTTCTTCCTTTGTGGTGCGTCAGCCCTTTTTCCTTAGACCAGTACGTAGACGGCTTAACTCGTGCAGTTCTGACCCTTGAGTCTCTTTTGTTCACGAAACAGGTTTGGGTTCAGATCGTGGTTGGGTAAACTGGGAGCAGGTGTTAGAAACTCGTTTTTCGTTGTTCACACTTTGGCGCAATGTGTGGTTGAGGCTTTTCTTTTTCGAAAAACAGAAACTAAGTCCTTTTCTGTTGGTGACTGTTGGTGTTGAGTTGGTGTTCGTTGCGTAGTTGTAGCAGCTCCATGTCGGATGGGTGCGCCGCCGCTGATTTGCTCGACAATGGCATCGATGAAAAAGACTTGCGCTCGGAGCCTGACTGGGGAGAGCTAGTTACACAAAAACAGGCAACTTGAGGTGTCGCGAAAAGGCCGTTTTTTATTTCGGCAAAACGCATGACAAAGCACTGCGTTTACCAATGAATTTGACATGAGAACCTGCAAAAGAGGGTGCGGTTTCCAATCCGTACGGTTGTTTTAGAATAGGTGATTAGGTATTGTCGTCGTTTTTCGAAGTCGGGAGAAACCAACTGCCATAGGGTTCAGCCGCCAATGAGTTCAGCCGACCAGATGCGAGAAGACTCATTGGTCGCTGTCATTAGAAGATCTACATCACAAACTAGTCGACTGTAATGAAATCAGTTTACTAGCAGGACATTATGGTTTACATTATGTAATGTTATTGTTACTAGTATTAGATATACAGTACATCATAGTTTATTTTTTAACTAGTCCCTAGTCGCTGTCCTGCGACCTCACAGTGGCTCATCCCTTCAAACAGCTAGATTGCTGTTGGTTGGTTTGTCGCCTCTTAGGAACGAACAGCTAGAACATGTTAATCCGAACAGGAATTGCAAGTGATAAAAAAACGATCTCGCTTAGAGGAGCCCAATGTAATTGTCAATACAAAGGATGACGAAACGGCCGGGACGTCGTGATGAAAGATGACCCTCCGTCTTACGGCGTAATATACAAACATCCTGATCCAGAAGCCTCATCTTTCATACAGTGATATTCACCTTATATATTTAAACCTAAACATGTCCTTGAAGGGATCGGATAGATTCAATCACCACTTGCTTCATGATAATTCTACATATGCCATATGCCAGATGCGCTCCATGATATATGCAATGTCAAAACATGCGTTCACATTCCAGCAACAGCCTGCTGGATGCCTCAAACATGGACTCCATGGAATGCCTCGATGCCTCGTCACCCAAGTCCGGGCGTTTTCGCCCAGCAAGGCCTACCAGCGGATATCCAGCAACGTGAGCGCCGCGAGCACGGCGGCGCAGTCGTCAGCGGCGCCCTCGCGCGACATCAGTCGCGCGTCCTCGAAGGAGTCGGCCAAGCCAGGCGGGGCCAAGTTCGCACCATGGTTGACTTGATGATGGTGGTTTTGATGTGTTTTGAGTTGAGAGTTCGGTACAGAGTCGAGAGTCCTTCGGGGGATGTGTTTAGAGATGGTTTTGACACCTTTGCTGTAAGACTGTGGGACAGTGTCATGGCCTGCGGTCCTGAAAACAAGCCGTTTGTGGAATTTAGGGGGGTTAAAGGAAAGAAGTGGCCGCTTGAGCCAGCAAATGCAGCTATTGGTACTCGTTGCTCCTATGATCATGGGAATTGATGCAGAGTACCTGCCCACTGCCTCCATATGATATGCAACCAACTTGGCAGGACACGTCGCGTGTTTATGTCTCCACCAGCAGTTCATCTCTGTCAAATGTTGTTTTTCTTCCGGGAGGTTCATTGGAGTATTGCAATACAGGTGGTGAATGATTTGATCCTCATGAGGGGGTGGGGGCGATGATGATCATGTTGGTTTTGTTTCTCGTAATCACGGTCGTTTCATGCTCCAAGTTGAAACATGATGAGATCACCATCTGTCCATTTCTTTGTAGATAGACAACGCAGCACCATACGTCATGTTTGATCACGGTCCTTGTCATCATGTTCTTCATGGTGCACTATGTACATATGCACATCCACACATAATATATATATACATATACATATACATATATATATATGTATGTGTGCCTGGCAATGCCTCCTGTCCTGGCCAACAAATTGAAACTTGCAAAACACTCTCCCAAGATCAGTCAAGGAGGTTCGACAGCTTGCAAGGAATCAGGTTCGGACGTCACGGACGTCTCCATCGGCTCAGGAGGTTCGGACACCGCCAGGTTCATTGGCGGACGGGAATAGATGAGGCTGGCTCCCATTCTAAGGCTTTGAACACATAGCGCCTATTGTGGGTCGTGAAAAACCACCAGTCCACCATGTTTGCCGACACCAGGTGGGTGAGCCCTTCGGTCTCCTGGCGCGACCCACATCCCAGGCCTCCAGCGTGCGAAGACGCTGCCCCCCGTGGCCCGAAGTCGCTCGCTGGTCCTGGCTGGCACCAACTTAGCTGGCGATTCGGGCGCTGGTTGACGGATGGGTGCGGCGATCCGCGCGGCTCTTCGGATTCGATTTCGGGGAGGTGGCAAGTGTTTGGAAGGAAGTAGTCAGGTAGGCTGATAGAGTGAAGGCTGAAGACATTGTTTGATATCATGTTTGGGAGGTGTGCTTTTTGAGTGGGACGGAGTGCAGTTCAGTCTATGACTCAGGAGGCCAGAGCTGGTTGCATAAATGTCGTGACGTGGGTTTGGCTCAGAAAATCAATAAGAACTGGGGCCCATCAAGACCCGCCGCGGTCTCTGGTCATAGCTCCCAAAAGACGGGATTCAGATTCCGTGTGTCCATGGAGCCACCTCCAGTGACTCTCAGACGGAAGTCCGGCGCCGCTTCGGGACGTGGGCAAGCACCAGTCTGCCCATTTTGGCTCAAGCCATTGTCAGATCAAGTTGTCCATTCCTTCTTCACTCATGTCTGACCTTGCTGAGCGCCTCCATGGTGGGGCCAGCCGTCGTCGCCGTCGGTCCTGCAGCCGCGACTCACGAGCGCCGCTGCGTCGTCGAACATCTCCGTCTCTTCCTCGTGATCGGCATCCAGACCCTCCTGCTCCTGCACCAGCACCTGTGCTTCCAGATACCTCACCTGCTCGCCCTGTTGATGCACCTTGGACTTTTGAGCTTTCCATCTACTCGGACGATGCCGCGGCGGACAACTTCCTGCGCTGGGCGGCGGCCTATGACATCAACCCGAGCTCTTGTCCGCAGCTTACTATAAGGTCGCTCAACGATTGGTGTCTCTGGGGGTCTCTGCGCCGGGTCGTCTTCTGGGGTTCTCCGCTGAGGAGCTGGCTTCTCTCTTTGGGCAGTCTCAGGGCCTTCACCAGGAGATTATGCACGACCTCTTGCGTACAACCTTGGCTCGTCGCCTTCTCGCCTTGGCATGGCAGTCTCATTCCAACTATTTGGCAAGTCTTCCACTCATGTCTCCTTCTACTTCAATGCCTCACACGGACCTTGCTGTGGAACAAGTGCGGGTCAATGCACAGCTGGCTTCCGCCCTTGATCGATTTGCCCGGGGGCACCGGCCAACATCCAAGAATCCCATTCTGCGAGACCATGACTCTGATGATGAAGACATGGACAAGTTCGACCTGGCCTCTGTCCTCAAGCGGACTTCACACCAGTTTCTTCCCACTGATTGGTTCCCCACCAGCCAGGTGCTGTCCAAGTTGCAAGCTTTGCTTTCGAAAGCCCGTGAGTCTTGCCGGCACCAGGATCACCCTTTTATTGCTGATACTCCTTTGGAGTCTTGGGTGCCGCTGTGGGTTGGGCATGGGGAATCCCCATCTGCGCGTGAGGCTTTGGTCAAGCAGTGGAGGAAGACCGACCAGTTGGACACGGCTAGGTTTCTCAGCCTAGTGTCCAACTTTTGGCTCGCTCACGCCGTGGTCATGTTTGAAGCAAACAGGGCCATGCGAGCCGGGTTGGGTCGGCCGGGCTGCTTTCGCATCAGCTGGAGCAGAAGGACGAAGCTTTCGGACATCCTTGGTGGGAGGAGGTTCTGAAGGCTGAGACCTCTGAGATTGATAATGCTTGATATCAAGCTTGTGAGTCAAGCGGCGCAAAGGTCGCTGAAGCAAGTCAGAAAAGTGGAACTTCTGAGAGCTGCGTGTCAAAGACTGCAGTTCGTAGTGCAGATCTCGTTCATAGCAAATTGCATAGGACAAGCCATGTTCGGCGCTCATGCGAATCAGGAGCAGGAGATGAGCAAAGACGTCCGGAAACTGGATGACGCCGACCAGGCCAATGGCTTGACTTGCCCCGACCGCGCCAATTGCAAGTTGGTGCACTTGGACACCACCGATCCAAAGGAGGCGGTCCGATACTCGGCCGCTCTCCAAGCCTACAAGGCCAAGCGGCCCAAGGCGGCCGGTCTTGACAAAGCGCACCTTCTGAGCCTCCTGGGGAGGTGAGGTTCAGGGAGGTCCTTCCATCGCAAACCTCCTCATTGTGGCCAACAGATGGGCTATATTTTGACGGGTTTTCCTGGCCAAATGGATTTGGCTGGTCAAATTGTGACGGGTTTTCCCGGCCAAATGGATTTGGCTGGTCAAATTGCGACGTTTTTTTTTTAACCCATCACATTTTTGGTGGCCAAATCCATTTGGCTGAGTGGTTTTGCCCAGAAAACCCATCACAATCTAGGAAGCTCGGCTGGCCCCAGAAAAGCGATGGGTTCTTAAAAAAACCAATCACAATTCCATACTTCGTGACTTGTGGTACTTGTGGCTAGCTGAGCTGTGACAAGTAACTTGAAGTTGTACTATAAGATCTATAAGTTATATTATAAGTTCTATAAGTTCATATTGTAACTTATAAGTTCAATAAGTACCAGAGTACTACTTATGGAACATAGTAGTAACTTGTGAACTTATAGTACTTATGTTGGAGGCTACTTATTCTACTTATTTTTAGCTAGCTTTTAGCTAATTCTAGGTAATTTCTAGCTATTTCTAGCTAATTTATAGCTAATTTCTACTTATTATATAGCTATTTGTGTATATAGTTTCCACTTTTTGTAACCTTCAATATGAAAAGTTCGACTTGTGTTCTTTTTGTTTTTTCAACAACACTATTCAAATAGATATATCTGGACGCATGCGTTTGTGTGATGAGTGTGCTTTGTGAAGCGGCCCCGGGGACGCTCTGTTGTGCCTTTTTTGCGCGTTCGTGTTGGATCGGTTGCTGTTTTCCAAATACCTTCATCGAATACCGCCCTATCTTGGAGAACCTCAAGAACGACATCATGAAACTTGGTGAGGCGCTCAAATGAAAGAACGCTTAAAGAAAGAAACACGCAAGCGGCCTCAGGGACGCTCTGTTATGACCAAGGGTTTTCAAGAAACCTAGCGCAGTGTTCAGATGTATCGGAATGTATTGGAATGTATCGGAATGTATTGGCCTTACTTTTCATACTCCCCAGAATGTATTGGAATGTATCGGAATGTAT